CAATGGCCTCCAACCCAGTAGGGATGGCCTTGAAGCTAAGAGCGATGGCCTCCAACCTACTAGCGATGGCCTCCAAGCTAAGAGCGATGACCTCCAACAAACTAGGGATGGCCTCCAAGCTAAGAGCGATGGCCTCCAAGCTAGGAGGGATGGCCTCCAACCTACTAGCGATGGCCTCCAACCCACTAGATCGTGAAATGCTTTTATTTCGGGTTCGTGAAGATCCACTCAGTCGGTTTTGGTCGGGTCGTTGTGGGGCCGGGACGGATCGTCCAACCCGTCTACGTTGGGCCCCGAAAGAGGGATGAACGGATGAACTGGTCTACGGATGTCTACGGTTTTCGTTCTGCCGTCCAAAAGTACATGCAAGACGCGAAAGGTAAATACCTTTTTTTTTTTTACTTTCCAGATGGTCGTCATGAAAAAGAGCACTGGTGAACAGCGCTGAAGACCCAAGTTAGTCGTCAATTTCGGATCAGTGTTGTTGGTGGAGATTTTTTCACTGCGACCTGGTCTCAGAGAACGCTCTCTTTTTTGTTTCAAGCAGTTTTTCTCTCTTCTTCAATCAATGTTTGCTTTTTCGAAGCTGGCTTTTCCATCTCAGCGAAAGGTTGTTTGTTATCAGTTTGTTGTTTTTAGCCCGCTCCAAGTCCCAAAGACATGGACACATCGTGTTTCTATGTTCAAGAAGGCCAAGCGTTGTTTTTAAGATGCACCTGTACTCACTGTTGAATCGAGTGTGCTCTTCCTGCTTGTTTGGTGCCTGAATCATTCGCCCTACGAGATGAACCGATTCTAGAATTCATCCAAAGAATTTGTGCTTCTACTTTTCTCTGCGTGTCTTTCTGGGACATGTCTCTTTGGGACACATGTAGTGCTTACTATACAATCTATGCATGACTTTTTGGACTGGAAAGGGTTGACATTTTTGTGTCTTACGTGGTTATTTGAAGGCAAACTAACATTCAACAAAAGGATATGACTTTCGCTTGCACTTGTACTTGTAGTACTTGTAGCCTTGGCTAGCCAACAGCGACATGAAGTGCAAAACTTCATTGTGGTTTAAACATGCATGCAAGAGGCGAAGGTTTGACCGGAAGCAACCAGCAAATTTCTTTTTAGCACCTTGCTCGATGGTTACCAATGACGGAACGAACGATCAAGCCGTGATTGATCTCAACCAGCTTATCATTCTTTGGTAGCTGAAGCTGCTAAAACCATTACACTGGTGCTCATGCGCCCAAAACACACTTATCCGCAAGAAACATTTTTGCGCGTCAAGTATCATGACCTCCACGAGGGTCGGGGCTTAGCCCAAGTCTCTGGTAGCTGCGATGCAGGAGAAGACATGGCAGGGGGCTGAAACAGAGGGCACCGACGCTTCTTTTGATTCTCCAAGGAATCACGTGGTCGGGACCGCCTTATGCGAGCTTGACTTTCCAAGGTCAAGTCTTCAGAATAGTGTTATCATATAACATAATGAATTCGGCTTCTTGGATCGAATTCTGCGAAGCATGGATGAATGGTTTTTCAATGTTTTTCATATCAGTGTGAACAGTTGGTTGTGCTGGTTGACGGATGCTCTCTATCGAACATGCGCGTTGGCGCAGTGCTGACAGTTCCAAGGGGCAGAATTCTTTGTTTGTGAGCTTTTTGCTGCTTGAACAGTGTGCCCTTCTTTGCTTTTGACACGATGGAACCGTTATGTTTACCAAGTAGAGAAGAAGGAGAGAAGCTATGGTCCAATGAACCCTTTACAGCAAAGATGGGACTGGGTCAAGACTTCCAAAGCAGAACATGATCCACAGTTTCAAGTGTGCATCGCATACAATACCATCAAATACCTCTCACCCTGGCAAGGCTGCTTGTTCTTCTAATGTTCAGTCCAGTCTAGCTGCTGTTTGCAAGTTCTTCCCATACCGAGCCCAGGGGTGTCGAAGCTCACATCAATCTCACACTGATCTCAATCTGACGCACTGCTTGCTCATCTCGCAAGAGACAAAAAATCCGTGCGAACATGTTGCTGCTTGAACACTTCTTGAATTGGCTCTTTTGAAGTAGCTGGGGCACCAAGGGGCAGAATGTTTTTTTGGGGTGAACCAACCGTTGGAAGGCATGGCAAAGTTTTGCATTTGCGGACGTTGCGTAGGATCAGGCAAAGATTGTCTGACGTTTGGTGAGTTCTTTTCTCCGAAAATGAATCATATACTCTAAACGATCGTCTCTCAAAACAGGTTTCCGCTTGGCAGTTCTACTAGCCTTGCCACTTGCCACTTACACATACATTGGCATTCCACTCGAATCACCAGAATCACCAGAATCAGACAGCGATGATCACATGTTGAAAAGGCCCTTTGGAGCCAAACATGTGATCATCGCACCCACTCTCCGGCTCAAAACATCGAAAAACCATGGATGGTTTGATGGCGTGGTTCAAAACCATCAGCCGAACAAAAGAAAACGCACCTCGCGTCCGCGTCTGCTGGCTTTGGACCTCCCAAAACGCCGCGCTGCGACGCTCCGAAGGACGGCGCGGCGCGTTTGGCGAGCCGACGAGTGCGCGGTCCCCGCAGGAAGGCCGTGCAAGGCGGCGCAACTCGTCTCTCTGAGAGGCTAAGGTCAAAGGTGTTTTGGTGGAACGAGGCTGGGTGCGCTTGGGTGTTGAGGCGTGACTTCCTCGAAGCACTTCCAATGACATAACCATCTGTCACCAACAACTTTCAAGCACTTGCCTCCCCCAAAAATGTGACCATGTTGGATGTCGCAAGATGTCCGCGGAACAGGAACGCCGAACACCACACTGGCCAGCAGGCCACGCAGAGCTTAGCGGTGCTGTAGCGCGTGCTTTCTCGCGTGGGATACAGCACGGTGAGCTCAGGACTCAAAAAGTGGAGTGAAGCAATGTAGACTCTTGATCCCCCATATGAAGAGTCGTTTCACTTCAAATGAGTGGAGGGTTATGCATCAAGAGTCTACATTAAAAGCTTTTTGCAAACGGAGGATTTCCACATGGTCCTCAAGCCCTCATGGTTCTTTTTGGTTGAAGAATAGCAGCGAAGCAATGGAATGCAGTGACAAATCAGCAGAATCGTTACTCATTGCAAGTTTACTACACATGACCAGGCTTTAAGTGACACCACCGGCAAAAAAGATGCGCAGACTGACCACCACGCACTGTCTCAACGTCGAAATCATTTCAAATCGATGTAGAGCGTTTCAATTCGTCACAGATCCGGGTTTCTGCGTCACAAATCAACCGTTCTGTGTGCTGAGTATGCATTTGTTTCTCCTCACGGACAAAAAGCTTTGTTTTGCAATTCCTCATGGAACGTGTCCTTGATGAATAGGTCTAGAAATCTTCGCGCCCCTGAAGCATGAAACAGACAACAAAAGGTATGTTGGATCGCATTGCTTGTGAAGATTCGCGGTGTCCTCAGGCGGCGCTTTTGTTTCTTTTCGTATTGGACCGGATTAGATTCGAAGGCCAGTCGTGCAAAAGATGGGGATGGGGTCAAAAGCTGGAGCCCTGGTCCAGAACACGTTGCTTGATTAACACCAGGCGCAAAAGTCATGGAAACCATGACCCACAGCCAGATGAGGACAGATCATTCCCTTAGTGACGTTTCTTGCCACGCTGAGCCGAATTTGCTGAGCCCAGTGAGCCTGGAAGGTCTGAGAAAATGTCGCAACCCCTTTCCCCCCCTGCTTGGCGGCAAGGCACGGTCGATTGTTGTTTTGCACTGAAAAAGACCCGCGAGCCAATGAGGATGCATCCGAACAGGCATTTTCAGTCGTGGAGTGCGGGTGCAGTGGTCCAGCCGGGATTTGATGCCAAAAGCCTTCGTGCCTATGAGATTTCGGGCTCGCATGGATCAGTTGCTGAAAAGACAGGGATGCTGGCAGCGCAGCGCCAAGCCACAACGCCCACTGGGCCCTTTGCTTTCTTGACGTCATTGCATTTTGATGACCGGACAAAGATAATTTGTGCCCCTGGTTGCTAGCATCGGGCATTTGTTTAATGCCTGTGCTTTTGAAGTCTTGTACAGCTTGCAGTTGACAAATGCACAGACATTTGGATCCCTGTCGCTGAATTTGATGCCTCAAGCGCAAGCAGCAGTTGAATCCGAGTCACATGTGCAGTCACAAGTTGGGGCAAAAGAGCCACGGATGGGCATAACGTTTTTCTATTATCTATTTTCTAGCACCGAAAAGAGCAACAAAAGAGCATTTTGTGTGTTGACTCTGCAGCTTTGTTCAAAACAGCACGATACAATGCTGTTCATGTTTGAGTCCGAATCAGCACGCTGCGCAAGGCTGCGCAAGGCTGCGCACGGCTGCACTAATTGCGTCGGTGCGGGCTGAAGGATGGAGGTGAAGTGCCGGCGACTGCTTCCTTCTTGTGCGACGGTGAGGAGCAAGTAGGGCTGGTGCAAAGTGCCGCAGCAGCGAGAAACAGGGAGGAAACGAGATGGATGAGAGAAAGAGTCATCACAAAGGGTGAAAGATCTGTTAAACTGGGCCTCCATATGCAGAGATTGAACACCGTTTTGTTCTTGATTCCGATGCTAGGCATCACTCTTTGGGTGTGTCTCGGTTGGATAGTTTTTCAGCTTGGAAGACACAAGGTGAGGGCACCTAGAGGCAGTAGCAACGTAAGTAAGTGCTCAAATCAAACTCTATGTTTGGTGGCCCGCTTGCGTTGTGCCTTCTTAAATTGACCTGGTTCTTTTGGAGGCTGCCCAAGCTTGCCAATGTTTTCTTCCTTCGATGCCCCCATGTATCTGTATATTGGGGCCCCGACCGATTGTCGTTGGTCGAAGTCGAAGACGGTGAGGAGGAAGTCACAGCACAGCTGGAAGCTTTGCAGCAATGAGAAAAGGAGGAGGATACATTTGTATCAGGGCAGCGTCTCAGTGTGGCTGAGGTTGAGGCGAACAATCGCATGTCGCATGTAGCAACTCGGTGGGTGATTTGCAGAGACTTACATTACCCTTTCCTCAGCTGAGCGGCTGCCTGTCTCATTTTTTGAAGGCATGTTTCCAGCTTTCCTTCTCCAAGCTTGGTCGCTGTCTTTGGTTTCAATGAAGGCTTGCAGGCGCGAGTGGCTGTGACAAGAAGATTTGGATGCATATACGTTTTTTTGGAGGGTGATCTGTTCCGAGAAATGAAGGGGAAGGTTCAACAATTGTGGCCAGATTGACCAACACTTCAGGCCTTTGATGCTGCAATGGGTAAGTGAGAATGTGGTGCTCAGCGAGTTCGAAGGTGCCTGAATGATTCCGAAGCACCATTTCTTGCAAGCCGCAGGATTCTCCAAAAGAGTCCGTGGGCCCTTGGTCATAGAGATGCTGATTCTCTCTTGACAGGGTAAAGACTTTTGTTCATCCTATAAGAACTTCAGTCGCGTTCGTGGGTCAGGTGCACGGGGGTTCCTTTGTTTCTTTGGTTTGTGCCAGTTTAGATTTCTCTTGACGCTTTGCCAACCTGCTACTATTGAAGGGTTCCTGGCAGGGAATCCGCCAGAAAGTCATGGGGGCTACTGTGACTTGATCTTGTGAAAGGTACACAGGTGCGAAACTAGACAACACTGACAAACTTCGTTCCTTTCTTCTTCTTCTTCTTCCTCCAGGTTTCAACCTCATGCCAAGAATTGTGGCAGCAAAGCTCGAAGAGTCCTCGCCACATCAACTCTACTCGTGCGGTTGTGCTTGGGGGACTGAGGATAGTGCACGAGTTGCGTGCTTGTCGTGCATTTTCTCTTACGGAGGCGTGACACTTGCGTTTGCAAGTTCTCCGAATGGCCTCACACTTTTGCGAGCGAAGGGATTTCTTTTCAAATGACAAAATGCATGGACGTTGGAGCAAGCGCAAATGCAAGGAATGTTGCAGTCGGCTTTGGTTGTCGATATGTGGAGAAACAACTGATGCGCACTTGGTGAGGTGGGAGTCAGGTGGAAGACATGAACTGTTAGCATGTGAAGTGCATGCATTGCATATTTTGAGGGATGCACATCGGGTAGCGCCCAAGTGCAGTTCGTGACTCCAGAAATCATGCTTGTTCTATACACTGCGATGAAACAGCCTAGGCCGTATATCAGAGCTGAAGTTTGTCACTGCTGGTTGTCTGGATGTGCGCTCACTTTTTTACTTGTTGCTGCCGCAGTTGCTAGAGCAAAATTGCTCAGGCATGGTGCTGCGGATAGTCTCTCAGTTATAGAACTTGTTGGACATTGTTTGAAACCGCCTTTCCAGTTGTTGAACACCAGTTGTTGAACGTCTGTTGAAATCAAAAGCTGCCCCATTACACGCATATCATGCTGAGCATTTTTACTTGTATTTGCCTCCCATTGGTGAGCCTTTTGGTACTGTTTGCTCTCCAAAGTCAGCAAAGTACACATTACATTTGTGATTTATGTTGACATCCATCAGGGCTCTTTGGCAGATGTTCCAGGGCGGCTTGAAAGGTCACTTTTGCAGGTGCTTCCGTTGTGGCAATCACCGACCTCACCTGGCGCTCTTCCTGGACTCAGCCAGCCTTGTCGTGTTGACTTCATTTTTTTTCTTGGTCTCCAGACCTCTCTCATCCATGCCTCTTTGTATACTGCACCATGCACTGGTTGCAGAACTTGCTGTCGGTCTTTGCAGAGAGAACCGACATGCGGTAGTGGTGTGGGTTGATGATGGCCAAGGGTTTAAATGTGCATTGTTGCCAGGCTTCACACAGAGTGCTGCAACCGACAGTACCTGGTCGCTAACGGCGCATAGCAGCGAAGAACTATATATATATGCTGTGTAACCTTAACTGTCTTGGATGAGAGTCTTGCTATCCTCCATGTTTTAGATTTTACAATTTGGATCCATTTGGACTTTCAAGTGTCATAGCACCTTTGTCGTTAGTTTTGTTTTTTTGCCTTTTCCCTTTTCTACAAGCATGCTGAATGGATGGTTGGGTACGGACTGCGATAGGTTGGGAACATTGAGGATAAGATGCCTTCCACCTACTATGAGTAGACGTGGTTCGCTTGCCTCAGCCAGACTTAGTCTGGAATCATAGAGATCTGCACACGGCACACATTAGAGAAAACGAAACCTATGTGCGAGAGTGAGCTGTACTTGATGCCCTCCTTGTCCGCAAGTTTCTTCTGATAGGCAACCAAAGAAATTTTGTCTTCTTCTTCTTCTGCTGTCATTGACATCTTCTGCTGTCATTGCACTTGTTGGGAGCCCCTGCTTGTGCCCTCAGAGGCTTTCTTTCCGAATGCCTTGTGTATTGAGATGTATTGAGTCCATCCATGTAATTTTTCGACCCAGTAAACCGACACAAAAGACTTTACTCTTCTCAATATTGCTAGTTCAACATAGCGCCTGCAACGTGTGTCCCTATAAATGCGTTCCACCGATACACCAATCCACTGGCCGATACAATGATACACCTACGCCTTAGGATTTAGGTTCATGTACGTATGTACATAGTATGTAGGTATGTAGGTAGGTAGGTCGGTAGGTAGGTAGGTAGGTCGGTCGGTATGAATAAATGTATGAATGTTTTCAGGGTCGTCTACTGTATTGTCTTAGTGGCGTAGAACGCAATACGTGCGTTCAACACCAAACAGCGCAACGGCGCAATGGCAGAATCACACGTAAGGACACCGCTTGCAAGCATGCTCTATTTAATCTTTTTTGAGTGAGCAGTGTGGGTTTGGATCTTTGTGCTGCACTGCCGCCAGCTGTGACATTACTTTTAAGATCTGGCCTTGTGCAAGGCTGATTTGTGATGCCAATGGGCAGGAGTGCAGTTTTGATTGAAGAAGGCGCCTTTTTGAAACGTGTTGCACTTGCAGCAACCATGAGCTAATCAATTACAAAGCAACAGCCACTTAATCTTGGCAATGAAATGCGTCCGCCAAGGCAAGTTCGCTTGCAAAGCAGCATCCTTTTTGTAGCAGCCGCAAGGAACATTAGCAGGCCCACCACCCATGGCAAAGAGATTGATTCGCATCATCAACCTCGTAGCAATCACAGTGAACATCGATAGCTCCCGCAGAGTCAAGAGACCCCCAATCACCGCAATTCCACTGGCAAAGCAATATGTGTCTCCGAAGAGTTGTGGATTTTGTGGCGCCGGACGGAAAGTCAAAAACGAGCTTGTCAGCCTACGATCTACTTGTACAACAACAATTTCCACGAGCACTGGGCAACCGCTGAAGAGAAAGATTCAAGGTCAGCACACAACTACTAGTGAGCTCAGGAACACACAAAGGGCTTGCCGAACATGGCCGAGAAATCTAATTATCATCTTGCTTCTCACTCTTTTCACCTCCAGCTGGCTGACATTGTCCTCATGGTTCGTGATCCGCCACAGGTGCATTGCTTCTGTTCACAAGGCGCAAAATGTGTCACTTTTCAGAGAATCCGTGCCAGTCTTTTGTGAACTTTGATGTGCTCAGCTGAGGGTATAACATCGGATCTTCACTGAAATGAGAGAGCACATTGTTTGCTGAGGTCAGTACTGTGTGCTGTATCCTCTGCAGCTGGGTACGGCTTGTGCCTCAGAAGAGTTTCGTTACTCTCAAGGGTCCAAAGACGCGAAGGTGTGACCAGATTGAACCAAAAACCGTGTTTGAGGTGTTTCAGGATTTTGTTTGCCAATGCTTTCTTGGCATGTGGGGGCCCAAAGAAAGAATGGAGATGGAGCAGTGATGCGAATCAAGTTCGACTGGAAATCGGAGGACTCTTCTCAAGACGACAAGAAAACCAACACCTCACTCATGGTAAACCGTGTCTCACTTCGCCAGTAAAGAGCCATTTGAATCTGCTGGTGTTGAGCAGATGCACTGAGGACAAACTCGATTCATGATTTGATTCACCCTTTTCAAGGTGCTGGCAGCCTCGATGTCAGTTCTATCAGTTCATCAAGCTCTCTTTGTTCATGTGGCTGGGTGTTGCTTCTTTGTGGACATTCCAAAGAGGCTGTCACCATTGTGCTTTCGGGCCAGATGCTCGGAAGACTCAACAGAGCCACTAGGTCAACCCAGGTATTCAAACCGTTGTGACGGTGGTGCGACTTTTCCTAATCGTTTGGCAAGGATTTTTCAGTCAGGTCAGTCTTCTCAACGGTGTTTGGGATCAACTTTCTGATCGTGCTGCTCGGCCGCCAGGTCCGATGCTTTTTTGGTGACCATCTCCGCTCATCCGATCCAACACTATTTTCATCAATCGATGAGGAGCACCACGTTAAACCAAGCTCATGAATCCGCGATGACCTCAAGATTGTTTCCTGACTTCTTGCAGCCTTTCCGTCCATTGCGACTTTGTGCCACAAAAACCTAGGCCACTTTGAAACGGCCAGCGAAGATGAAAAGATTTCTCAGCTTACGTGCACGCTCAGATGGTTTTGTAAGCAGGGCTTTGCAGAGCTCAGACTGCATTGTAGGTAGCATAAATCCTGTGCATGCGGCAATCTTTCCACTCAGAGACTCAACCAAGCAACAGGCTTTAAGAGAGCTTTGTCACCAGTCCATCATTTATATTCATAGCCCCGAGCTTCCAACTTGCCATCATCATTGCACATCAAGCTAGCCAACTGTAAGCCTTTAGTCACCTTGAGTTGGGCCATGGTGCTGAACAGCTGGCAATGGAGGCTGTTTTTCCTAGCACTGACACTCCTTTTGGGCTCATTTGCCACTGGACACTTGCTTGAGATTTCGGACCTCGGCCGTGGAACCAGCATCGGGGCTCTCTACGATGTCGTGACTGGTGAGATTTTGGACGTGGCCCTGTGGTCAAACAATGTGACGAACAGCTCTGACCTGGTGCGGACAATCCCAGCACACTACGCGCGCTTGTCCTTTACTCGCAGCGAGAGGACGGAGGACCGAGCAAGTTTGCAGAGTCTGAGTGGCGAGGTTACAGGGAGTATTTTAGGCGGCTTCCTCTCTGTGAAAGGCTCTGCTCTGGTCTTGGAACACAAGCGCCGGAGCCGGTCGACCGCGGAGGTGGTTGCCAACTACCACATTGAAACTCGCAAAACCGTCATCAATGCATACGACCCACGGCTTTGCAAAGAACAATTGCAAGTGGGGGAGTTTCCCGGACTGAAGCGTGCAACGCACGTTGTGACTGGCATTCTGTATGGAGGCGATTGTGCTGCCATTTTCAGTACTGAATCGGCAAGCCGCTTTGACAAGTCTGCAGACCTAACAAAGATAGAGGGCGAGATTGATTTCTGGCTCGGCAGTTATACGCAGACCTTGGTGGAGCGAGATGATATCAAGGAGTCTTCCAGTGCCTCGAGCAGCATCACCGTGGAGATTTTTGGAGATCTTCTCCCAGAAGGTCCGCTGCCAGGTGATGTCGAATCCGCTGTTCGCTTCATGTCGGCCATGCCACAGCAAATGGTGAGCCAGGGCGACCTGCCTAAGAGGCTTTTCCTAACACCACTCTCGGAGCTTCCATGTGACGAGCAAGCTGGGCGAAGGCTTGAACGTGCCACGCTGCAGCACTATTTTGAGTTGCCAGACCGCTTTGTAACCCTTAGTATCAGGCTGCTGGAAGAGTTGGACACAGCAGAGCAGTGCCTTAATGAGCTGTCACTGCGGCCTCACCGAGGCTTTATCTCTTTGCGACAGGCAATTCACTGCCATCTGGAGAATCTTCAGGATTACCGGAAGCAGTTCAGGCAGCAACTCAAAGAATCCACGCAAGCCTTCCGAAATGACGGCGCCGAGCAAAAACTTGATTATTTGGTGCAGAGCTTCTATGAAAGTGGATACAGTCTACAGGAGACACAGAGCTTGTGCAACAAGTTGCAAACGAAGTGGTCGACAGCAGATGATGTTGCGGATTTCATGGAGCAGTCCAACTTGCAGATGGGAAACCACATCTCGGACTTCATTGGTCCATCTCTGAATCCTCGAGTACACTCCGCATACCAGTTTCTCTTTGTAGGCGAGCCCGACAGTGTAGAGAATCGGGAGAGTGTCAAGTTGCTGAAGGACTTTGCACACTTGGCTGGACAGCGCAAGAGAGTCTCAGGCTCCTCTTGTGACGACTGCGAACCCGTGAGCTTCTCCGCGATCCAGTTCGACAGTTTTTGCTTACAATTTTGCCGGCCGGAGCAATGCCAGCTTTGGTGCAAAAACTGTGGAGAGGGGACAGATTTGTCGAACTCTACTGCCTCAAGTGATTTAGTATTTCTGATGCCGCAACAGGAGTCGTGGTGCGAGGTGCCTCAAAGCAGAGTGTTGCTGTCTGTGAGGAATGCACAGCCTCAGGTCGTTAATGTGCAGCATATTCAACCCCCCAGTTCCTTGGACCTGCTGGAGGTGCGGTACAATGGTCATGAGATTGAGTTGATTCTAGGGAATCAATCCAGCTGCGCTCCTCCAGTCTTGCGACACGTGCTACGTGTTTCTTGGGAGACCAAGGAAGACTCTATGCACCTCTATTCTCAACACCGAGATTTTGAGATCTATGCGCCAGAGGATGCGGCCCGCATTGTCTTGGATGCTGGGCGAGTGTATTCCTTCCAAGTGGCCGCAGTGAACCAGGTGGGTATCGGCCCCTTCTCATCCAAACGACGGGCCATGGCCACTTCGACATCTTCTGAAAGAAGGCTTGCAGCGTTTGCAGGCTTGTTCGGGTTGCCGGTGCCAGTGGTAGGCCTCCTTGCCTCCCGGGAAGCCGTCCTCTCCCTGCCTGAGACTAAGCGGAACCGCGTGCCCAGCTGGCGTTGTGTCCAAGTCACCATTTCCTTGTCCAGCGACACACAGGAGGAGATCTCTGGAGTTAGGTTTTCAGATGCGGAGAACGTGCACCAGAATCTCACCTGTGCTGCACGGATGTCATCCTACAACGAAATACATTGCACCATCCCAACCCGGAAAACTTCAGTAGACATCCTTTGGAATGTCGAGGTGCTTGGCTTCGACAGACCCATTGCTGAGCTTGGCCATCTGCTTCAAGAGGCGCCAAGTGTCCAAGCTTGTCGAGAGTGGAGCCAGGCTGACTATTGCCATTCAATAGAGCCGACCTGTGTGAAGACGTGTGCTGATTGCGCGGCCCGGCCACATGCCCATGCCCCTCCCAACTGCAGCTCTGTGGATGCAGGCCATTACTGGAGTGAGCTGACAGGCGTCCCTGTCAATGGCAACCGCCAGGATGAAGCAGATTTTGAGCTTGAGAACGGAGAAGTGTGCCCACTTGAGCCCGAGCCGTACTGGAAAGAGGATGCAAGCTTCCGCCGATTGACACCAACTCACAGACCTGCTCCTGCCAGCCTCGTGCTTGACATTCGGCTGTGGAGGAGCGAGGTGGCTGCCAGTTGCCAGGCAACTTCGCAAGTTGCCCCAGACAAATGCTCACGGCAAGTGGTCAGGGCTGTGCCTAGCCCAATTCAGCAGCTGAGAGACCAGCTGAACAGTTCGGTCTTGCTGATCATGGAGGCGTGGTTAATGGTTCCGGAAGCGACAGTTTTCTCGAAGGATCCAGAGACTCTGTGTGGAGCTCAGTTGCTTCAGATTCATGAAGTGAGTTGTCCAAAATATCGGATGCGGTGACAACTGCTTGTTGTTGCACATTCCTGGGCCAAGAAGGTAGAATGGGATTTACAGCTGTGCATATTCATACACTTCGCAAGACTTGAGCACCTTAATACAAGCTGGGTCTCATGTTTCGGCTAGGTTGGCATGGACATGAGGGTCACTTCGGACATACTGTTCAGTTTGATGCTCTCTTTTATTTTTATTCTTCCCTGGCCATTTTGGCGAGACTGCCGCTCGAGCCCGCCAGGCCAGAAAAGCTTTCACTTAGGTTCCTGGGCCTGGGCAATGTCGTCTAGCGGCAGCGGCTCTCAACCTGTTCAGGCAAAGGGCATGCCTCGTAAAGCTCCACCTGCTGCATTGCAGCGCCAGATGATCAATGCCACGAACAGAGTTGATGATGCCTCATCGACCTCTTCATGGACAAGGGTCGAAGATGATGATCTACCTCCTGCCAACCTCCCACTCCCTCGGGTGGATGAGAATCAGGAAGTTTGTCAAGATGGGACCCCAAAGAGCTTCATGCCTCCTCCTCCTCCAGCTTGGTCGAACCAATGGGCTGCACCAGCCCCTCCAGCGGCTCCTGCCAAGGCGACTTCGGCTACCAATGCTCCGGTGCTTCAGGCAGCTCAGGGCCTCCTCGACCACTCGAACGAGAACCCTACTTCAAGGAGATTGAGAAGGCAACAGGAGCAGGCCGCTCGGCGAGGCAGAAGAGGAGTGAGATGGGGACAGCTGGCTCCAGGCCGTCTGGCCCACAACCCGCTCAACACGGTGCTCCCAGGGCGGGCGAGGGGGAGAGATCGATCTTGGTGCTTGACGATCGTGACCGACGAGTGCAAAGTCCTTTTCAGGGATGGCTCCTGGATGAGGTGCTGACCAATGCCTTGGCGGGCATCAACGCCGTTCGGACAGGCATGCAGTGAGGTCGCCTTCAACTGGCTACCATCTGAACCTGTTCATGGTGAGGACGCTCGACTCCGTCAAGGTGACGATGTGTGGCTCCATGACGTGTTAGGTCAAGCCCCATGCGCTCGCTGGGACTCCCTGACGGGGGAGGTGATGAGCCATTCGGCTTTTCAGCCATTCAGGTGGCCACCCATGACTGAGCAGTCGCCCACCTGGGTCGATGTGAAAGTGAAGCTGGAGGGTCACCTACTTGTTCACATGGAGTTTCGTGGGTACCGCTCGGACCACGACCTTTCGCTACAGCTCTGGCACGTGGCTGACGCGATCCAGAGCATCCTCTCGGAAACTTTGTTCGTGCCCAGCTTCATCGTCACTGTCTTCCAGGGCTGGAGAGTGGTCGCTGTCTCCTGGGAGGTCGGCGGGCGCATTTACGCCTGTTCAGATGGCGGGATCGTCGTGGCTCTGGACTTCCCGCTATGCCACTTCGAAGTGCGCTTCGTCGCGACCAGTTCGCCAGACGCATTCGGCGCAGACGCTGACAGACTCGAGATGCGCTTTTCTCAGCGCCGGGGACAGACTCGACGTGGCGGCAAGCATTGTTCAGGCACAGCAGGGTCTCAGGTCCAACCCTCATCAGGAACGCCAAATGGTGTCGTGAGCACGGCGCCAGGGTGGAGTGTCCTGATCAGCAACTTCAGCTTGCTCAGCTGGCAGCTGTTCATGCCCATTGGATTGCCACAGTGGAGGCGCCAACCGAGGCCGAGACAGGCCCGAGGATCTCTGCGATCGCAGTGGAATCGAACGCTGCCAATGTGCATCTGGTGTGCGAGAGCCCGCTGCTGCGCAAGGAGAGGGCGATCGTCAAAGCAGAGGCATTGGCTCTGCAATGCCATGATCCTTTGGATGAGGTCACCCCCCCCCCTAACTTTGAGGACGCTCGGTTTGTGGCCCTTCAAAACAAGGTCATTGCCGACCGTGCAAAAACACTCAAAGAGGCGATCCCCATCCCGATTTCGATCATCGTGGAGCTCGAAGGATTCGTCGTGGACCCCGGGAAACCGATCGGCGCGCGGATCTTTTTGTGGTGGATCCTTTGCATGGTCTTCGCCTCCCTTCGGTTCGATGACGCTATCCATGTCCACCCAGGAGAGCTGACCATGCGAGACGAAGGCCTGTTCGGGGTCGCCTGGCAGACCAAAGTCGATCGGAAGCGGATGGGAACCCGCTTCGTGGTTCCGAAGATCGGTTTTTTCTGACTCGACTTGGCTGGAGGAGGGGTGGGAGTTGTTCAACCGGACGCAGGATCTCGATCGGGATTTCTGGGTTCCTGAACTCAACACCCAGGAGGAGTTTCTTCCAAACCCCCCTTCGTTCGCGCGCTCGCTACAGTGGATGAAAGTGTTGCGTCGGCGCATCTCTGATGAGAGCACAAAGTTGAGCAGATCGCAGCAGACTCAGAATGCGATCGCAATCAACAAGCTGACCATGCATTCATGCAGAGTGACTTTGTTAGACGCAGCGGTCCACTCGGGCCGGTCGGCCGAGGAGATTGGCCTTCAGGCGAATTGGAAGAACCCGGGCCCTTTGGTCCTCAAATATACCCGAAATCGATCGGCCATCCCTGCGCTCATGGTCAAACAGCTCGTGAGAGATCTTGTGCAAGAAGAGCATCCAGCAGTCGAAGACGTCGACGCGATCTTGGTTGACTCAAATGATCAGGAACTCTCGTCGTTCGAATTCTTCATGAAAGAACGCCAGTCCCGGCAGCTACTATGAGTACAAGTACCATTGCGCCTCCAGCTCGGACAACACACTCACTGCCTGCAACAAGTTCAATTTGCGTGACTGCTCGTCGGTGGGCGAGACCTTGCCGGATCTGACGGTCCTGTGCAAGGCATGTGCCCGAGCGAGGCCGGAGATAGCGTCCTTCTTTGACTGTCGGCCGGAGCGCGATGCCGCCGCAGCCGCATCTTAGGTGCAGCCGTCGAAGTTGTCGAACTCGTGTCGTGTTTTGAGAGAGGGGCACTGCTGTGATTTTTGTGTTTTCTCAGCTGATCAGTTTTGTTTTTTTCTCATGACATGTTTTCACAAGTTTTTCGGTTCGACAGAGGGTCCAAGATCTGTTTTTCAACCGTGGCCTGCGCCTGATCGCGCACTATGGTCGATCGGACCCACTACGATCCGGATTCAGTTCCGGAGTTGAGCCTCCGGCAAGTCTTCGGCCGCCAGCGCTTGTCCAAGGACCTGTGCAGGCTCATGGCCGACAAGAAGATGCTCACCGTGGAAGGATTCGCCATGCTCGGCGATACGATCGCTGCAGTCAAGACCACGTTGAAGACGATCGTCGGCGACGATACGCTCCTGGGCGACAATGCCGCCGCTCAAGAGCTCGCCTTGACATCCTTAGCGGCAGTGTGGAAGACGTGCTCCTCACTCCAAGAACATTTCGCCGCTCGGCGAGCAAAGATGGAAGAGGATCCGTCGAAAGTCCCAGAGATCCCTGGAGATGATCATGCAATTCAGAGAGCAATTCGTCCTGAAGCACCCTGATGTGCTCTTGCCACACCATCGTGAACCCCACAGGAAGTTTGTGGAGCGCACCCAGCGAGATTTTCTCGTTCATGGTGCAGTCCCCTTCTACGAGGTGGGGGAAATGAGGACTCGGAGTGAGCAGATCGCCCAGAAGAGTGGCCTTTCGAAGAACGCTGAGGATCTCCTGAGGGTTGTGACGATCGACCAACCTCAAGCGGCAGCATCTGGGTCGCAGGTCATTGACAAGCTCCATGCCTTCTTGGTCGCATTGGAGTATACTTGAACATTTGCGACTTCACTCATGCAGCTGGTCCTTTGCGCTACCTCTCAGAGCTCGAAGAGTGGCGACATGAGCACCGGGGCCTTGCGCTTTTGCTGACTGTCGACAGCCTGATCAGGAAGAAAGTCTATCGACTGAATGCTGATCAGAGGAAGTTGTACCCCTCCTTCTCGGGGGCGCTCATTGAGGTCCTCACTCATCACAAGCAGCTCTGGAATGACGCTCGCTCCAGCGCTGAACTGGAGAAGTTCAAGCAGGCCGGGCACGCCGAAGAGCGAGTCCATCCAACAAGGCGAAGAAGAACAAAGCTCGGCGAGAGAGGCAGAAGCAGCTTGTCCGCTCCGCTCGTGAAGCCGTGGACGCTCGGAAGAAAGATGCTCCTAAGAAAGATGCTCGAGTTCCAGCTGCTGAATGGAGCAAGATCACTTCCTTCAAGTACAAGGGCGCCAAGCGTTGCCCTTGGTTCAACTGCTCGTTGGGGTGTCGCTTCGGTGATCAGTGCAAGACTGCTCACCTGTGCGTGGAGTGCGGCAAAGAGCACTCCTGGCATGGAAATCACTGAGGTCCTTCAACCCTGGCGGTTGAGGTCCAAGCTCCGCCTCTTCCGCCTGCTCCGGCAAAGGAGACAGGAGACACGTATGAAGTGGTCGATCGACCACTGACAGTGGCTCCACCTTTGTGGCTTTCATGGGATGAAGTGCCGCGTGATGCGGCTGCTGTGGCCCAAGCCGGCCCTTGGTTCTTGGAGATCTTCTCTGGCACCGCCGCACTCACACAGGCAGCTCGTGCGGCCAACATTCCTTGCCTGCCACCGATCGACATCACACCTTGCTCGCTCGTGCCAACACCGTTCGATGTGGTGGATGCTGAGAAATGGGACTTCATCATGCAGCTCGCGCAGCTCGGGGCGATTCGTTTCCTGCACTGTGGCACTCCATGCAACACTTTCTCTTCGGCTCGCAAGCTTGACCTCCACCTCTGCGATCGGCTGAGCGCCCCATGGGGCTCCCCGAACTTGACGAGGAGAATAGAGCTATGGTGTTTCTGGGAAACCTTTTTCTGCACCGTTCGTGCGAAGCCTGCTTTGTTGTTTTCCTTCATGGTGGTGATTTTTCGATCGAGAATCCGGAGTTCAGCCTCATTTGGCAGACGCCTGCAATTCATCAACTTATGGAGCTTGCCAGGGCGTGGTTCATCGACTTCGATCAGTGTGCTTTCGGTGCCCCCTCGGTGAAACCCACGAGACTGCTCGTCTCGCATGAGTCGTTTGTTGCGTTGAGGCTGCGCTGCCCGCGGAACCACACCCATGTGCAGCTCAAGGGCAAAGTGTGGTCTGACTTCTTTGGTCGATGGGTCTTTCGCACCAAACTCGCTCAAGTTTACCCAGACCGCCTCTGCCAAGCCATGGCCAAGGTGATTCAACAGCTATGGCCAGATGACGCTGCACAGTTCTCATCCAGTTTCTTGATCACAGCATCCAGCAGGAAGCGCCCGCTCGGGCAACCTTTGAGATGGCGGCTTCACCGTCAGGCTGTGACAGCCCTGAAGGCGGAGGCGGCGGGCTGCCAGCTGAAGAGAGGTGCACGCTCAGTATTCCTCATCCACTGTGCGCCGAAATTGATTTGGATCCAGATCTCACAGCTTGCGTCTCGGTGCTCGCAGCTGACCTACCGGGTGTCGTGACGCAGCGACTACAAACCCTGGCGTTCTGGGAGGAAAGGGCGATCGCCCTGCTGCCAAACACAGAAGCTTTGCTCAGTGCTTTGCCAGACGCGCCGCTCCGGCGCCTGTTGCGGGGGGCTCCTGATGATCAGCCATGCCAGCTCGGTTCAGTTTGCCATGTTGCTCTGTACTATACCTGTTCGTCGGTGGACTCCTACATGCCGGACTTACTCCTGCACGGATTCCCCATTGTGGGTCCAATCGCCCGCTCGCGGCGTTGGCCACCTTACGAGAAGGATCAACCCGCATTACCTGTTCAGACAGCTTTGGATCGGGCCTGGGAGTTACGTGCCAATATCGTCAACCGTGTTCGTGGCGTTCCTCCAAGTGAGAACCTGGTGAAAATCTGGGAAGCCACGCTGGAAGATGTTCATGAAGGGTCGACTTTATAGGCCCCTTTCAGACTGCTGATCAAGTGTCAGAAGTTCTTCAATGTCAAGACTGGATTCCTACTCAACGGTTCGAAGTCGTGCAAAAGAACAAGGTCAGAGGTTGTGACAGTGCGACAACGAACCTGATCAATCAGATCACCGTGATCACGGAAAAGTTGCAGCTGCCATCGACTGACACGAACGTGGCGGCCATCCGGAAGTTAAGATCGATGCTGCCGGGCTCAGAACTTGCTGGTGGGTGCTGGACGAAAGGAAAGCCTATCGGCAAGTCCGCATCCGGCCAGATCAGAGGAAGTTTAGCGTGATCTGCTTGAAGTGCCCTGTGTCGTTCGAACCAAACTTCTTCGTGATGGTTGGACATTCGTTTGGGTTGGTGTCGGCGGTGTACAACTACAACCGTCTTTCGGCAGCCATTAATGAGATTTTCATGACTTTGTTCAAGATGGTAGCCTTCAACTTTTATGACAACAAATATGGGTTTGAACCGCTCGGGTCTGTGAACTCCGCTTTTCATGTGGCTCAGAGAGTGCACTGGCTCCTAGGAGCATCGTTCGATGCTATAAGAAACTCCAGCTGACTCGCAAACCCGTCGTTCTAGGGGTGGCATACAACCTGGAGGAGGGGGCTTTGGAGCTGAAGGACAGTCGGAGGTCGGAGCTCATCGAAGAGATCGAAGGGGTGCTGCGCTCAGAAATCCTGGAGCCAGGACATGCGGGAAAGCTCAAAGGCAAGCTCATGTTCGGGGCAAGCCAGCTCTGGGGAAGGTGGGACGTGCTTTCCTTCGGGCAATTTCCGAGAGACAGTACGCCCGCTTTCCGCTGACTGATCAGTTCGTGCTTGATCAAGCCCTGAAAGAATCCTTGAAGCAGTGGCTCAAGCTCACTCTGGACCACCAAGGACGATCGATCTTTGCCTGTCTAAGAAAGCTGACGTCGTGCTCTTCACTGACGGCTTTTCTCCAGACCCCAGAGAGGACGATCGTCGACCAGATAGGATCGGTGCAGTGATGTTCGATAGGCGCATGAACGCTCCTGTACAGTTTACCGCTCGAGTCCCAGAGATTTTGAAGAGCAGATGGTTGACGAGGAAGACTCAGATCATCCCCGTCGAAATGTTAGCTCCAATAGTTTCCCTCGAAACTTTTTCCAGCAGACTCTTTCGAGCAGACCTCTTCATCTTCATAGACTCGGAAGTTGTTGAGGCCGCGCTCGTGAAGGGCTATTCAAGCCGTGAGGATCTGTGCCTGTTGGTCTCGGTCTTTTGGGACCTCGTTTTGAGGCTCCAGGCGCGTGTCTTCGTCGATCGTGTGGCTACGGATGCTAATCCAGCAGATGCGCCCTCACGGGATAACCTGGAGTTGGGCGCTCGCGCCGGATGGCTGACGGCTCGTTGCCTGGTTTCGCTGTCAGTCGAGTGAGTCGTTCGATTTGATGTGGGGTTGGGCCTGGGTATGTTTGCTCAACCAACTGGTCTCGTGAAGAGATTCTCATCATGAGAGCCCATGCGTGGGCCTTTCTGGTTGATGTTCACATCCAACCCCTCTTGTCATTTCGTTCTGAACTCAGCTCGATATCCCCATGCCTCAATCGAGCTTGAAAAAGCCTTTGCGTCAGCTTGCTCAAACTGAAGAAACGGAGACTCTGTCGAGTGCTGTATGTTAGGGAGTGGGTCTCATGTTTCGGCTAGGTTGGCATGGACATGAGGGTCACTTCGGACATACTGTTCAGTTTGATGCTCTCTTTTATTTTTATTCTTCCCTGGCCATTTTGGCGAGACTGCCGCTCGAGCCCGCCAGGCCAGAAAAGCTCCCAACCCGCCCGCCCTGGAGTTACGCACTCTGGGGCGGCCAGGCGAGGCAGGCCGCTCGTGCAATGTGAAATGGGTCAGTGAAGGAGAATGGATAGTTGAGCCTGAGTGTTCAACTTGTCTTGAGTTTTATATGAGTATTTGAGAGGGTATGTTTGCTCAACCAACTGGTCTCGTGAAGAGATTCTCATGATGAGAGCCCATGCGTGGGCCTTTCTGGTTGATGTTCACATCCAACCCCTCTTGTCATTTCGTTCTGAACTCAGCTCGATATCCCCATGCCTCAATCGAGCTTGAAAAAGCCTTTGCGTCAGCTTGCTCAAACTGAAGAAACGGAGACTCTGTCGAGTGCTGTATGTTAGGGAGTGCCGACGATAGTGTAACTCCGTGAGCTGGTGAAACTCCTATTTCTAGTGCAACTCCGTGATTCCCTTTTTGTTGTGGCGAGTTTGGCCGTGCTTGTGTCGATGCTCGATGATTTGAACGGATGCTTTGCTTTGTCAAAGCACTCGTCGATGCTTTGAACTTGAGGCGGATGATAACGTCAAGCTTGCTCAATGCCGCTGAGTACCCTCACCTGGGCGTCCAAGTTGCTATGGAGCCGATTTGGGTACAGCGAGAAGCAAATGTCAGAGCATTCTTTGCTTTTAGCTTGACTTGTTGGCTGAGTGCCTCTTGTTTGCAGATAAGACCAGAGCTTGAAACCATGTTGTCTGATCTTGCGGAGGCCGGCATTTTGGTTGGCAATCTAACTCGCTCACTGCAGCAGTCTGGCTACTCAGTGACTGCAGCTGGGCAGATCATCCATAGTGCAAATGTCTATGAATATGACCAAGGGGCAGCAACAAGCACAACAAGCAGCACTAGATCGACCAGTCACACCATTACCAGTACAAGCACAAACACCAATACAAGCACCAGCTCCAGCTCGCACTTCAGCACAAGTACTCTCAACACAAGAACAAGCACCACAACAATACAAAACACCACAACCAGTACAAGTGCAAGCACCGATACAAGCACTAGCTCTAGCTCACACTTTAGCACGAGTACTTTCAACACAAGAACAAACACCGATGCAAGAACCAGCTCCAGCTCGCACTTTAGCACGAGTACCAGTACAAGCCTCACCACAAGTATTACCAATTCCAGGGTGAGCATTTTTGGTACAACCCCCAGTGCCAGTACCAGCACTGAGAGCAGGACAACCTCCAATGTCATTATTGCGTCAACAGCAACGACGCAAAACATGGCCACAACCAGTGCCACAGCTGAGGCCACAGTTTCTGGCGATTCACACAACAACGAAGCTGTGGCTGTCTTGGAGCTGGGGCTGACACTTTCAGACATCTCCTCGTTCGATCTTGAAGGCTTTCAACGTGAGATGAGTGAAGCATTGGGTGTGAGTGCCGAGAATGTCTTGCTGACAAGCGTTCGGTACCAGACTTCAGTGACCTTGAGCCTTGGTAGTGTGACCACCGCAGAACAGGCACAAGTGGCTTTAGCTGATTTGTTGGATATACACCAGGACAGCATCAGTGTTACTCTGCTTGGGGCACGACGGCTCAACAGCTTGTTCATTCGTGGACGTCTCCTGGCTTCGGTGACTTTGGAAGCTGTCATCCGAACAGAAGATCTCCAGTCAACTGCCTCAACTGCAGAGATCTTTGCAAACATGACAACCCTGAGTGAAGCCTTTGATGTTGGCGTGTCTGTGCTGGTCTCTCCTGCAACCATTGCGCAGATTGCCCTAGACATTCAGCTTCCACCAAGCATTACTTTGGACATGACTGAGATTAAGGAGTCAATCTTGGAGGAGACTGGATTTAACGTATCAATCTACAGCATGGAAATGGAAGAAGCTCTGGATTCCCCGCAAAGCACGAGTGATAGTATAGACAGTGGATTGAACGCTGTCGAGGAGACAGTTGATGATTCCCTTCCAATGGTCTTGATTGGCACTTTGCTTGCCTCTTTTCTCATGATGATTCTGGTCTGCTGTATGGCTTGCAGGCGGTGGTTGCGGTGCTGCAATGCTTCTGGTGCTCGGGATACAGAGTAGCTACAGATCAACTGTATGAGTCCAACTTTGGAGGCCGATCCAATTTCCAAGCTTAGGTCAAGTTTGCCCTCTAAGAGGGCCTTGGCAGCCGTTGTTGCGTGAGAAAATGCAGCCACACTTGTGTAAGCCATCATCAAGATCACAACTAAGTCTTTAATCTGTGGGTGGATTGCGCTCGCCATGCTCAAGAGTTTGTAGAAAGTGCAGAGATCCTCCAGTGCTTGCGCGCTTCTCGCGTGCTTCAAGAGATGGTTTCAGGCCTTGTGTTTTGTTGGATGGCAAGCACCTCCATACAGGTGTTGGCCATCCGTCCTGACGCATTGTGGATGGCAAGCACTTGGTTGCAAGTGCTAAGCTCCTCGAAGCTAGGTGCGCCAATTTAATATGCTTTGTCAACTTGCTGGTTGTCTGGTGCGGGCATGTCGTGCCTCTCAATAAATTTGAACATTTGGATAAGGAACAACTTGGCCGATGAGTCCATTACAGCACAGGACCAGGGTCGTCGCTTCTTTTTGGGGGAACTCTATGATGCCCGCACGAGTGAGTCGCTTGGGGCTTCTCTGTGGCCGCTCTCGGTGTTGGATGATCCGCGCTTTGTCCGGGAGACTTCAGCTGCCAGTGCTGACTACTTCTTGACTTATGCTGATACAGTAAAGGACGGAGCGGGCTGGCGAGGGGAAGCTCAGTTTGGGCAGGTCTAGAGAGGTTTGTTGGGGGATTCTTACAAAAAGAAGGCTGCTGTAGCAAGTTACAGGCAACAAGCTGCTGGACACATTCTTGGTTTTCACATACTAACTCATTTGTTCAAGCTTCACTTCAGGACAAGATGGAATTGATGGGTATCGACGGCACAATCGATTTCGAGCGCTCCGTTGGGATCAGCAAGTTTACCTTGTCAGGCTCAGCAAAGTACTTGGAATCAAAGGCAGGTTTCGCGTCAGATGCGACAGGATTGTTGTTTTTACCAGGCTTCAGGCTTGTGTGTTTCACTTGACAGGCGGAGAGCAACCTGGAAGCGCCAGACTCAGTTTGTTGGAGTTGCTTTTCGGATTGCTTGGGCACCACAACATATCACATCACATCACATCAGACCACACCACTGCAGGTGCGCAGCTCACTGAGCATGACAGTGTATACAGTCCGCAAGACGCTGAATGCGATGGATCCGGACCTTCAACGCCTTCGATTCGACTACATACCTCCTCAAGCGACCCACTATGCGACCTTGGCGCACAAACATAGCATTCCCTTTGATCTGTGTTTGGTCCCTGGCAAAAGGTTTGGCCACCTCATGTGCATGGTGGTGCTTCCTAAAGCACCAGGTGAGCTCCATCAAATACGGAGCCAGATGCATAGCGACATTCTCCCAAGTTGCTGAAAATGAGCAAGAGAAGGAGATTCTCCAAGGCCGCGATGGACAGTTGACCTACGCCTATGCCAGACAATTACAAATTACATGTAGCTTCGGAACTGAACTTTGAAGTGAACCACATTTGGGTTTTATGAATTTGTGGAATCAGCTTTGACATCTGCGCTCGTATTTGTTGGTCACCCTTTTCAGGCCGTTTGTATGGAGAGGTGAAAACGGCCTTGATCAGAGTGAGCGCAGAGATAAACCTAGACCTCCAGGACCTCACTGTTATGCATATATATATATATGTTAATGCAAGGTTGTGCTGCATGCAGCTGCAGTTTGTTCCTTCTTGGCTTTGGGCTTTGAGTTTTGAGGTTCACGTAGGCTCCATGGCTCCATTCTGCAGGAGGAGGAGATCTTCAGCAGCAAGAACATCACTGTCAAAGTGAATGGAGATGTGATCCCCAGTGGCTCACCCAGTGGTCAGGCAGAAGATGACGATACAAGCCGCCGGTTGAGCTGGGGCGACCGTCCCCAGCCTCGACGAAGGCTGAGTGAAGATACTTGCTGGGATAAGCCCAATTGGAGGGATGGCATCAGCAGCCAAAGCTGCAGAGATTACAAGAAGTCTTACTGCGACGCAGCAAGCAACACCTACTATCCTGATCGTCACCCTACGAAGCGCCAGTCCAAGGAGGTGAACTTCCCGGACCTTTATTGCTGTGGCTGCGGCCGATGTAGTGACACGAAACACTGGGCAGAGCCTTGCTTTGGGTGTTTGTTCGTTTGCTGCAGGAGTTCATTTCGTCAATTCCCCAGAAGGGGGTAAACTCGGGTAAACTCATGGATTGCGGTGGTTTGGAGTGGGTCCTTTGACTTTTCATTGCCTTGTTCGTTCCTGGTAGGGCTCAAGATTGCCTATTTCGATAGGATCCACTTGTCAGCCCCAGAACCTGAAAAGAGGTTCGCCTGTGCCTCCCATGGATTAGGAGAAGAGTGTGCTTGTTGGATTCCAAGGCAAGAGACTTGCACATATGCAGCTTTACCACAGTATGGTGCGACCGTCTGCCAAGACTGTGCGGCCTTGCTTCGTTGACGGATCGCCTCCAGAAGGCCATGGAGGAACGCTGCAACGACGAATGGTTGGAGCACCAGGATCGAGACCCATTTGCACTTGTCAGGAAAGTATAATGTTGCCGATGAAGCACGTGGCAGCACGCGAGCGTTTGGAAGCCGGCATGGAGGGTCTCAATCGTGTTGCTCCAATGCCAGCCATAGTGTGCGGTTGGGGAGCAACTTCGCTGGCTCTAAGGTGTCAGGGAGTGGGAGGCTTATTGTGAAGCCGACCCGTACCTGCCGTGCCAGCCACCAGGGCTCAAGGCCAGGAAAAAGGTAGGGCGCTGGCACTTTTGAGTGGCAGCGGAGCAGGTTCTTTCTGGCGGCCTTTGGGGTGGTTGCGCTTGGTGGGAGCCTGGCTACGTGGCTTGGTTTTTGGTGGTGGACCTACTATGAGGTGTTTGAAGTGCACGCATCAGAGGACGACTCTGATTGGAATGCAGTGGAATTTGGAGGATGAGGAGCTGGCGTGGAGGGACGTTCTATGGATAGTGAAAGCCACACGTCGTGGCCAGATGGATCGGGGAGAGATGAGTTCTCACGAGGGCATGAACCAGGGCAAGGGCATCGACAACACGGCGAAGGGAGTGTACATGATAACTGGTCATGGGATGGTCGAGCATGGGGGCACGATCATGGACAAGTTCATGTACCAGGCCGCCGTGGGGAGAGATGGCGAGCGGGAAAACTGGTCCTGGAGCTATGCCGGCTCGTGGGATGGTGGAAGAGAGGATCGACGACCAGGTGAACATCTTCCTGGACCCGATCAGGGACAAGCTCGTATGGGCTCGATCCACAACGAGCTCAAGACCCCAGTCTCTCCGCTGGCTGCGGTGTTTGATCGGCAGGGATCCCCATTCCGGGGAGGTGTCATCGGTGGGGGACGCGCCAGCCCCGAGAGACGACGGCCGCTGGGAAGGGGAAGGTGAGCAGTCCAGTTCATATCCCCCTATCTTTAGGGCTAAGCCAGGTGAAAGGTAGAGGGATTGGAGACGCAGCTTGGAGTTCTGGCTGGGTGGAGAAGGTCATATCCCTGAAGAGTACATCGATGTGAACAAGTCGGACGGCGTGCAGAAGATCTTCGATGTCTTGGAGCGCAGCCCCTTGGTCGAACAGCTGGACAAGCGTCGAGTGGACCAGCAGCGGAAGAAGCTCATGGCCTTGAGTCGATATGCTGGCTCGAGAGCTGTATCACACGTGGCAGCATCTACAGGACCCAGCTTGTTGGACTGGCTGCCACGTTGGAGATGGGCGAGCGGTTCTATGTGGGCATTTGATGGACCGTGCCCGCCTCGTGAGGAGAGAGCCAGGGCAGGCAACGAGACCGAGGAGGCGATCACGAATGCGATGGTGGAGTTGGCTGCTGAGCCGGAGGGTGAGCACGGTTTCCCAATCGGTGCCTCGGAGCCAAATACCGCGGGGCCAATGGTGATGAGTGGTTGGTTCAACGGACCACACCGGAAGGGGCTGGACGAGCTGAGTTGTCCAGCGCCTTGGAAGAGGAGAGCCTGGCGAGCGGTGACATGGAGGACTTTGCGGAGGACAGCGTGGACGAGGGCCCGGAGTTCAAGGAGGTGGAACGCAAGGCCTATGCCATGCACTACGCTACAAGGCCAAGCAGAGGATGGCTGAAGTGAAGAAGCTCCGCCAATACTACAAGGAGGGCGACCAGGTGGAGGACCGCAAGAAGGCGTTGGCGGAGAAGATCAAAAATACAGCTTGCCACAACTGTGGTGAGATCGGGCATTGGAGTCGGGAATGCCCGAATCCGAAGGCGCAGCCCGTCGTGGCAGCAAATGCTAGCTCTGGTCGGCGAAGGCGGTGGGGGTCTTTGATGGCTTTGTCTGCCCTTCCCGAAGGAGATGAACAAGACCATGACATTGAGTGGGATCTGCTAGATTCACTCTACGCTGACAGAGCGGGTGCACGATCGTCTCCGACAGCTCAGGCATACATGACTGCTGTGTGGGGTGGGTCCAGTCGGAGGAAGGGCCGAGCGTGAGGTGTTGTGGTGTGTGAAGGACCTAGCGACGGCGGTCATTCTTGATATTGGATGGACGACTTGGGTGAATCAACTCCTTCACACGTGGCGACGGAGGGGACTGTGGTTCAAGGTGTTCAGGTTTGGGAGTGGCGATACCCTGACCAGTCAGTATGGAGTTCAACTACAGGACCTTTGCCGGGAAGGAGGTGATCTGGAGTTTTTCGGTGGTCAAGGGAGAATGCCCCCCTCTACTGTCCCGACATGCTTGCGCCCAGTTTGGGGGTACAGTTTGATTGTGAACACCGCCTGCTCAACTCCAAGAAGCTGTGAGTGAAGAACTACGGTCTCCGACAAACGAGTAGTGGCCACTATCTGATGGACATCGCGGAGTTCGGGGAGGGGTGTCAGGACATTCCGGAAGACTGTCGTTTGAGGGCGGGTCAGGAGGCCTGTCCATGGACTCGGACAAATAGTGTTCTCATGGGCGAGATTTCGGGCGGGTCGCTGAACGGGACCGCGCGCACCTCTCCCTCCGTGTCGCTTGCCGCTTGATGGAGACGGGCTTCTGCCGAGTATGCAGAGACGAGAGCCACCGACTACCAGCTGAACTACGACGAGCAGCAAACCCTGGTCTCAGGCCACCTTGAATTTAGCTTGAAAACCACAGCTTTGAAGCCTCATGCGCGCGATACCTGGGAACAGAATTGTAGCTACCCTGGGTCCGTATAAATGCTGTGTTGCTATACCTCTTACACGCCTATACAAGTTCAAAGCACGAATGAGACTTCAAAGCTGTGGTTTGCTGTGCGTGTGTGGCTCGAGAAAGATATACGTAAAGTCTGGGGGGTGATGCTTTGATGCTTTTGGAGCGGGTGGTGACGCACTCGCTAACTATACCCTTCAATAGGAACTCGAACAGCTCAAATCCAGAAGATTCTGAAAATGGCCTGGCTCCCTATATGAACCCTGGGAAGACTGGGAAGCGAAGAGGTGGAAACAGCTGGGAGGTCTTGAACTTTTAAGTAAACAAAAGGCCACAGCAGAAGGACAATGTGCGTCCTCTGCTCTCGCTTCGCAGACCATTTTTAAGGTGGCCTGAACAGAGTGCTTTAGGGCAGCAAACCCTGGTCTCAGGCCACCTTGAATTTTGCTTGAAAAATTGTCTGTTTTAACTTTAACAAAAGCCTTGTCACAGAGACACCTCAGGACCCTTGCTTCGCATATCTTCATTTCTGAGGTGGCCTGAGCATATAGTTTCGCGCAGCGAGCCTCTGGTCCCAGACCACCTCGAATTTTGGCGCATTGTTTCTATGTGTGAAGTCGGTCGGGGGTCGGGGGGGGTAGCCCGAGAAAGGTATACGTAAACTCTTGGAGGTGATGTTTTAGTGATTTTGGAGCGGGTGGTGATGCAAGAGTGCATTTTTTGCTTTTGCATGGTTACCTATGCGCGGGCAGAACAAGACATGAAGCAGATTTGACACGCGGCCGCAAGCGGCTGCGCGAGCTCATTTGATTGCTTCGACGCGCAGTTGTCGAGAAAGGGAAGCGCTGGCTTTCGTTTTGCAGCTTCTCAGGTTTACTTCAGGGGCCAAGTGCAGTTTTAAATTCGGAATTAGATGCAACGCGTGCTGCAGGCAACCGCCCTTAGCGACCGCAAATGGAAAATGGTTCGTTCCTGGTAACCCCCTTGCACGCAAACCAAGTGATTGGTGTGACAGCCCTCCAACCATGATTCTTTGCAAAGATCGGCCCAGGATCCAGATGGGCATGGTTGTGACTACTACCGTTTGAACCGTTGCCAAAGTGGGTCCTACAGTGGTGCTGACGCCCCGCGGGTCAATCACCCAGAGGAGAATTGCTGCGGGTGTGGCAAGTGTGAGGACACAGCAGGTTGGAGCGACCCTTCAAACCACACGTGCCGGTGGTACAAGAACAACGGATTATGCCCAAACGGCGTCTACCGGGATGCCGCCAATGCTACCCAAGCAGAACTCAGCAACTTTCCAGATATGCACTGCTGTGCATGTGGGAAGGCAAGCACCTACGTGCATGCAGTCGACCTGACAGCGACAACTACAACTACCACTGCTCTCTACAAGCTTTCGGATGGCCCAGAGTATTCCGCAAGACGTCGCAGAAGTGTTACTCTTGAGAAGCCTACCAGGGTGCCCACGGACCCGACGAGTGCGCTAGACTACCTCTCCAGGGTGCACGTCTCGGCCCTGGAAGATGGTGGCGTCCCGATGCAGATCACCCTTACACCAGTGAAGTGGCTGGTCAGTGGGCCTCTTAGTTGAGATCCTTTTGCTGCAGTCAAATTTGATTGGCGCAAACAGGAACCTGTATGAGACAATTACGTACGCTACTTACTCCTTTCACAAGGGTGCATGGGTCGGGATATTAGTGTATTCTGAGCTTGTCTCCCATTCCGGTGGGTTGGGAAACAATTTGGCTTCGTTTCACTTGCAGGGTTTGTGCTTTGTTTCAGTTCTTTGTGAGAGAGGCCGTGTGGCGCTCAGCGCCATGTGTGACAGTCACTCAATCCAGCAGTGTTTTGCCACCTTTGCAACCGAGAAACCTATTCAATCATTTAAGGTAGGCAGGGTCGGTGATGATGAATTATTTGGGAAGCTTCGAGTCAACGTCTCCCCGATGTTTGAATACTCAAGCCAAACTGGGGAGACGCCCTTGAGGAGCAGTGTCACTGCTGGTACCTCAAGTTAAAGTTTTTCTCTTCGGTTCTGTGGCCGTGGCGAGTGACGATGCACAAGTCCGCCGCGGAGTCGAGCAGACCAAGCTCGAGCGGTGGTGTGCTGCGCATCACATTGAGTCGACCTCCGATTTGGCCTTTTACTTTGTGATGCACGAAGAGGCCTTATTGGAGGGTCGCGCAGTGGCAGATGCATGGGAGCAGGCGCGCCGGGAGGTCCTCGTGCGGGACCTCTTCCGCCGTGAACAGGTGTCGCAAGCTGCCGCGGCCAACTCCTTCCTTTGCTGGGCCCGTCAGGCCCAGCGCCCAGGGCCACCAGTGGGGTGGCCCTGCCCCAGCTGATGGCGATTCTCTTGATATCGAGCCCCCGCCGGCAGCGCGCTTGGCAGAGATCACCGCCAACTTCGAAGTGAGGCTCAAGAGTGCACTCCAGAAGGCGGAGGCAGCGACTGTGAAGCGTGCGCTCCACACGTGGCAGGAGCTGCAAGGGGCTATTGCCTCAGCTGGCGGCGGGCTTCCAGACAAACATCTGCTCGCCAACTTCATTCGTGAGCATGCTGCACCTACACGGGCCTACACAGCACTGGGGTGGCTTGTGCGCAACTTGAAGTTGCCGTTCGACCTCTCGGAAGTGGTCAAACCTCGGGCTGGCCTGGGCGCTCGTCTTGGAGAGGGGCAACCCCAGGCGGCCACCTTGGAGCCATCCATGGTCCTACATCTACTGGGTACCCTAGAGTCCACAGTTGATCACCCGCATTGGCCCTTGGTGTTCTGTGCCTACGCCATGTGTTTTGGTGTTGTTCGTTACACTCACCTGCAACGTAGCTACCTGGTGGGCGGCGACGGGGGCATCTTGGTTCATGGTGCACGAAAGGCAAGACTGGGAGCCGCGGGGGCTTTGCCTGGAGCGTGCCACGCTACTGTGGCACGTTGGATTTGTCGCAGGTGTTGGGCACCCACCTCAACAAGGTGCGACCTCGGTCGGGTGCCGACTTCAAGCGATGGCATTGGTTGGGCTTTGACTCGGCTACAGCCCAACCGGTGGGGACGCCGCATTTTGCGCCCGCATTTGAGTGCCGCTATGGACGTTACAAGCCTGTCCTCTTACTCCTTCCGCAGAGTCCTCCCCACGCTTGCAGGCTATGTGGGGTTGCCTGAGACAGAACGTCTTGCTCTTGGCCAATGGGTTGACCAATCCTCCAAGACCCTGTCTCGTTCATTACCTCGGCCAAAGCTGGAGCGCAATGGCATGTTGAGCGCGGCAACGCGCCCTGGAGGCCCTGGCCTATGATCGCGAGTTTTGTATCACTTGCAAGGCCGTGCTGCCCGGCAATGACCGGGTGCACCTGTACTAATAGATGTCGCGTTTCGAAAACAGCACGCCTACGGGGTAGGTCGAGAGGTCGTCTCAGTGTGCAGCACATTTTTCTCAGTCTTGGAAGGGACTCGGCGGTCGGCCAGGTGAGGCCCTTCCACTAACACCGATTTTCCTTGAGGTCCAACGTTCATTATCCACCCGCAGCCGCTCGTGCGCTCTGTTACTTACACGTCCTGCTCCTGTACTGTGTGACCATGGACCGGCCTCAGGCGATCCAGTTCGTTGCGGTGACACTGGCGCCATTGGATGGTGAGGCCAGGCGGGTGCGGGCTTGGGAGGTGGGGGATCAGTTGGACCAGGCCTGCCAGGCCTTGAGGGCCCTTCTCCTGACCTCTACCCCTTGTGTAGGGGTGGTGCAAATTCAGTTGAGGGCTGCCCGCGCCCTCTGTGAATCCTGGACCTGGATCGAATGGTGGGACGAGATCGAGGAATTGCCCATGGAGGCATCGCGCCCGGAGCCGGGCTTTTGTGGCCGTCTGCCCCTAGACCTGGTACTTTGCCTCCCTATGCTCCGTTGGTTCACTCTACCTGTGACGAGCTGGCCCAACATCACGATAGTCTCCCTGAAGATGATCGCCCTCGGTTCCGCCAACTGCTACACACAGCCCACCATGAGGCCTGTGCTGCGAGTGACGCTATCCGTTGGCCGGCGCTGCATTGCTTGGGCTTGGAGCTCGGCGAGCTTGTGAAACGGCTTAGTTAGCTTTCGCAGCGGACGTCCCAGAGTTTTTGAAAAATTCCTCTGCTGATGTGTTTGCTGTGTCTAGTCATCCCTGATGTCAGGACGTGGCCACAACCTTACTCAGTGACCCGCCGCAGCCGTTTGTGATCGTCGCTGCTACTCGTGCTGTCCTCTTTCCTGAGCACCATGGCCACTGTCCCCAAGCAGCTTGGTACCCCGGAGGAGACCTTCACTGCCCTGGCGCTGCAGTTCAACTTTGAGCAGCGCATCAAAGACAAGATTCTCGAGCTGGGGATCCGCACTCTCGCGGAATTCTGCCACTATGCCCGCAATGAGGATGAGATCAAGCGCCTCTTCATCGACGCGGTCAAGGACCCCAGCTATGAGGAAACGCAGGGGCGCCTCCAGTCCGCAAGGTTGAGCTTTGCCTGACGGCCTGTAAGGCCTTGCTGGACTCAGAATATGCAGCCGCCAGCATGCCACCGGCTCCCACCGAGGAGGAGACGTTGCTCCCCAAGCAGGAGCTTGAGCACTTGACTCAGCCGTCAGCTGACTCGCAATCAGTTTGAGGTCATGGATTTGTGGACTGTGCGCTCCCTCACATTCCAGCGCACCCATAGCCAGAAGCGCCGTCGGCTGACAAGTAACTTATACCTTCAGGAGGATGACGACGATGAGCCCACTACCAAGTCCTGGCTCTCCTACATAAAAAAAATTAGTTATCTTGGAAAGCTCCAGATACTAGTAACTGGGACTGTCATTTACCAAACTTGCACATTGAGACGGATTAATGAATCCATCTTCGCCATTGTGGGGTGTCGCCCCGTTGAGCCAGCGCCGACTGCGCCTGAGTCGCTCGGTTCTGACAGCCTGATCTACGTCCAGGTGCCCTATGACGTCTTGCTGACCTACTCCAGCCGATGCCATGACCTGGTTCTCCGCACCCCTGAGGGGAAGCGGTTGCAGTTGCTCCAACACCTTGATGTTGAAGGACGAGGCCAGTGGGCCCCTCGATGCACAGGCAACACGACCCTGGGCACCATCCTCAGCGCAGTCATGCGCGAGCGGGACGCTCTTTGGCTGGCCGGGGCCCTGCCGGCACCAAGCATTGCCACCGGTGCGGCCTCCGGTGGGGCGGCGTCCGCTCCGGCACCTCCTGCAGCCGCAGGGCAGGTGGGCTCAGTGGACACAGCGGGATGGGACACAGCTGTGCCAGGCCTACCAGCGCAATCAGTGCCGCGCCAACAAAAAAACTGCCCACGCGGCGCCCATCGTTGTGGGGTTGCGCTGCAGTCTGGACGGGTGTGTGGATCCTTCCAGCATTCACCCACTGGGTGCCCCAAAGCTGCTTGAAAAGAGGGCCGCTCCTTTGCCGGGGGGGGGGCGAGGCCAACTTTTGGGCACTCCTATTTTTCATACCACGCCCCGTCCTCCTTGACATTTTCAGCGGTGTCCATGCCCCCCTGTCCAAGGCCTTTCTGTGGTGCCAGTGGGAGATCATCGCCCCGATCGACATCGAGATCGACCAGGACCTGGACGTGTCGCGTCCGGCGGTCCGCAGGGCTATTCGGGAGGTCCTCCCCAGCGCTGGGGCCATGAGTTGCGCTACCAAATCTCGAGCCAGGGAGAAGCGCCCCGGACCTCCTCCACTACGGTCTGAAGAGTGTCCACGCAGCCTAGTGACTACTTGTTGGCGTTGCAGCACTGGGGCTCAGAACCTTGCGTGCCTCCGTGAGAACCCTCTGCGGTCCCTACATTGGTGGGGCCCCATTGCACAGTTCGTGTACCAGGAGGGTGATTGGTTTGATTTATGTGTCTTTGGTGGGGCTCGGCGTAAAGCTCAGAAGTTTCGTCACAACATCCCGGAACTCGCCTCCCTTAACTGTCAGGTGTGGACACATTCACGACCCTGACGAGTGGCGCTCATCTGGTAGCGGTCAATTCTCCACCTTCAACGAGGCTGAGTACACGCCTAGTCTGGTCTTTACCCTGGCAGTGTGCCGCGGAGCATGGGCCGCGCGACATGGCTACGGCATTTTGTCCATTCCGAGGTTGCCGCCCATCACCTCAGGAGATGTACGACCCCTTCTCCACTTTGAGCCATCGGAGTTACGTGAAGATTTGATGACTGTCATGGGCCCCCACCTTGGCCTCTCCCCCCCTCTGGAAGACTCGTCCCATGCCCCCACACGTCAGGTTGCAGTTGATGTCTTGCAGATGCGGTCAGGCCTCACGGATGAGGACGTGTAAACTGGCCCAGGCCACTTCTCACATCGTTGGTTGCTGACACAGTGGCAAAACCCCTTCCGGAAGGCCGGACGGCCCTAGAGAGTGTTCTTCACTATGCCAGGTGGATTGCCGATCAAGATCACCTCATGGCAGATCTATCCTCCCTCCACTTCAAGAACTTGGTGTGTGACTGCCCCCACAATGTGCTTTGTCACGGGGACATCCTTCGGGCACTGGTTTGCGGGTCTCGCTAGTCGCAGCCGGTATTCGCCCTGCCAGGGCTGTACCTCTGAAGTTTTCCCAGGAGATTGTGGTGGCGAGCCTCATGGCCCTCTGCCCAGATATCAGTTGGACGACTGCCACTACCAATGGCTCAACTACATGCAGAACCGCCCTGACTGGGACGGACACTCATTTGGCCCACGCCTGGTGGGTCCCTTGGTCGCACCGCCATCGCTATGAGCGGCCTTCAACAGCCCGGTGCGGCTGCAGCAGCCAAAGCATTACCTCCTATGATCCCCTTCGGTGTAGGGGAAGATCGGCATTTTGAACTGGCACTCGAGCTCCAACAACGACCCACCCCATTTGAATCCATGGGTGTTGTCGACGACGACCTGATTTTTGCAGCGGCATGGTACTCTGCCCAGGGTGTCGAGCTTCGCGAGGTGCGCCGACGCACCGGACGCTGGCTTCAACAACTGAGGGGCGGGCCGCAAAACGTGGCCCATCACTCACCATCTCCAAACTTACCAGCCACCGGCTATCCGGTCGGCTACGAAGGGGCGCCACATCGCCTTGATTGGACTCATCATGTTGCTCATTGGTTGGCCGGACACTACCTTTGTGGCTAGTCTGATCTATGGGTTCTCCGCCGTGGGCTTCTCCCCTCACATGCCCATCTACAAGGCCCAACCTGCCCACTACATCACTGACGACTCCATCTACCAGGATGCATTGCGAGAAGCTGATCGCATTATACAGAGCCTCCGTCCTGGCGAACATGACGCTGCCATAGTTCAAGCCGGTGAAGAGGACCAACTCTGCCACGAACTCCCTCGCTTCCGGTTGATTCGACGATTCTGCATCCAACAGCCATCTGGCAAGCAGCGCGTGATTGATGACGCCGCGGACGGCGGCCAGAGCGCCCTGAGCTCAGATGCAAAGAAGCTGGACCTTTGTACAGGTATCCAACCAGGTCTGCGCGTCCAATTTGTGTGGGAGGCGGCCTCTTCTTCATCCCATCCTTCCGAGTTGTTGCAAGCTGGCATTTGGTCTGGTGGCGAGGATTTGCCAAACGCTTACCGCTACGTTCCTATGAAGCCAGAGCACAGCAACATGGCCATTGTAGCCTGCTATGACGACCACGTTGGAGCCCCTCGTTTTCGACGATACTATGGCTCCTTGTTCGGGTTACCGAATGCAGTATGTTCCTTCAATCGGTTCCCTAGATTCTTTCAAGCTGCGTGCCGCCGCCTGGCTTACTGTATATGTACTTTGATGATTTGACCATTCAGGATTTTGGCATTCTGGGCGGCGCAGGTCAGGCCTTTGTCAACGAGCTTGCCCGCTGCCTTGGTTCGCCCTTTCAGGAAGAGAAACATCAATCCTTGGCGGCTCAATCTGCTTTTCTAGGGCTGATCCACGACGTGACAGCATGTCACCGGGGCGCCCCGGTGAAATTTTGGGCCCGCGACCGTTTGGTCACCAAGGTCACCGACATCATGGATGAGGCGGCTCAGACTGGCCGATTCCCACCGGGACTGGCGGCAAAACTCTTTGGCTGCTGGGGTTTTTGACCACCGGATGCTTCGGTAAGCTTGGCCGGTCTGGCCTCCACAGTATCAAGGAGAGGCAATACTCCTCACAGGTCTTGATGACACACGAGATTTCTCAGTCCTTTGATCGCATCCGGGCACTACTCCGATTGAAATCAGAGCGGGAACTTCCTCTTAGCCCTGTGAAGCAGCAACGGTACTTGGCCGCATCTGATGCTGCGCAAGATCTGCCTCGGGAGGGCTCTGCGGGAGTTTTGTTTATTGATCCCCATGGTCACCGACGGGCCTATGTTGTCCACATTCGCCCGGAGATCTTTGAAGTGTGGTCCCATCATGAGGCTAAAATTGCACAACTTGAGCTTTTAACGGTCTATATGGGACTCGCTTACAATGCTTCGTCTTCCCGAGGGATGCATGGTATCTGGTTTGTCGACAATATCGCGGCACTTATGTCCCTCATCCGAGGCCGCAGTAACAATGACGAGTTGGATTATGGCTGGAGCCATCCATGGCCTCCTATTTGCACTCCGTAGTGCTTGCTACTTCGAATGGGTTCAGAGTAAGGACAACTGGTCTGATGGCATCAGCAGACAGGGAGAACACGACCCATGGTTTCAACGACATGGCTTCAGTCTCTTTCACACCTACCCCCTGCTCATGCTCCTCCAGCTGCCCTACCACATCATCGCCCAGGTCTTTCAGTTCGTATAAGTGCTTTGGGTACGTTAGTGCTCCCACAGGGAGAGTGTCAGATGTCAGATGACACACGCGACGTGGGTCGCATTTCAAACCAAAGCACTTAAGTACAGACCGTACAGACCTGAATCGATTCGCAGAAAAAGGTAGCAGCAGCTGACACATGTTGATGGAGCTTCATCGAATATATTCAATCATTTAAGGTAGGCAGGGTCGGTGATGATGAATTATTTGGGAAGCTTCGAGTCAACGTCTCCCCGATGTTTATGCTACCTTCATGTCCACCTGTTGCTGGTCTAGCGAGTGGCTGGCTCGGCATGGAGCCTGTGGGGTCTGTTCCAATGGTGATAGTCAGTTCACCTTCGGCCTTGCTGCCAGCTTGAGGGCCGTGCTATGGTTGCCTTTCCGTCATCACGGCTACGCTTGCTGCGCTTGCAGCCCGGGCTGACCGCCATGAGAGACTGGGACTGCCGCTGCCGTCCGGTTGTCCATTCACGGCTGACCGCCGCCCAGCCATCATACCTGTTCTGCCTGCACCAGGTATTGGAGATGACTGGGTTCTGTCAATTTGAATCTTTTGATTTTTCACGCTCTGTCCAGAGCTGACATCCGTTGTGGCCGTAGGACCGCCCCTGCGGTATCCTCTCGGTCACCATATACGGATGGAGTGCTCCCACAGGGAGAGTGTCAGATGTCAGATGACACACGCGACGTGGGTCGCATTTCAAACCAAAGCACTTAAGTACAGACCGTACAGACCTGAATCGGTTCGCAGAAAAAGGTAGCAGCAGCTGACACATGTTGATTGAGCTTCATCGAATATTTGTATATATATATATATTTTTTTTTAACTATTATGTGTTTTTCTTATTCTTTCTTTTTCTTTCCTTTTCATTATTTCTTATTTCTTTCTCTCTTTCGTCCTTAGATTGCCTTTGCCCATGCTTTGCTACTTTGCGATTTTTCTCTGTCGCTGTCGCCTGGTGCCACAGTGAAACAAGAGTTTTTGCTTTGGTTTCTCCTGCAAGTTCCTTTCTGAACGCTTCAAGAAACATACATTTGGACCTCCAAGTGTGGGCGCTTGGTATGTTGAACGAGCTGCAGCATGCGTGAGTCTCTTAACCGATGGTTTGGCTATGCATTCTTGTCTTTGTTAGCCTTTTAACCGTTGACTTCTTTTGACAGTTTGCTGTCCCAACTTGATTGCACGTGCAAGGTTTTCGTCTGCAGAAATCCGCCGGTTCAGTCTGTGTCAATGAAGCAGTGCGTTTCTGTTTTGACACCCACACCCGCAACTCGCAAGCTGAAAGGCCGACGTCGAAGCTAGCGATGACCGAGTTTTCGATCTGGTGTTTTGAGCAGAGTTGGTGTTCTGCGCTTCAGGTGGCTATGAAGCAGTCGCCAAGCGACTCACTTCAGAGCTGATGAACAAAGCGATTGGCATTACCGAGGACTTTGACCAAGGAGTTCGCATCATCAATGACCTTGCAGTGCCTAGGTTCCAGTGGGCTTCAAGACAACAGCTTTGAACTTTGAACTGCAGTCATTTTTGTTGTTGTTTCGCTTTAACTTTCAAAGGTGCTTTAAGAATGCGTTGTGAAAGACGCATGCTTGTTCCTGTACATATTTTGTGCCCCCTGTCTATGGTCGTGCTCGTGTGATTTGAAGATGTAACCAAAGTCTTCTTGAGACATGGCAGAGGTGTTTTTGCGCCCGCAATGTTCTCCCAATAGGGTTCCAAGATGCTTGTTTGCTTTGCTTCAGGACTTGCCTTTGGTTCTCCCTCCACTTGTCCGCCTTTCTCCCTTACCTTTCCAAGTCCCACATGTTTTTTCACCAGACAAGTTGGTTTCCTGTTGCCTGAGTTGTCTTTGATGACTAATGCAAGCAGGTGCAAAACGATCGAGAAATGAAAGGAGTTACTCATGTCTGCCATTGTTTGCATGTAGTTTGCCGCTTGCCTAAAACGCATTTCTGTAGCGTCATCTCCCACTGCCTGTTTCTGCGTTGGTGGGTATGTCTTGCTTTGTCTCCGCACTGGTTTATATAGATCCTTGTGAAGGATGATTTCGTTCTTTTGCTTCTAGTGTTTAAAATCTTCCCCCCCAAAGGATTTCCAAAGCACGTTGGCTGCTGTGAGGCTGTTGGGGTTCTCGATTCTTCCGTAACAATGTAAATGTGTCATGCCGCAGGTTTTGCAAACTTTGACTCCTCTCGCATCATCTCGCATCCAGGTTTGGTAAGTTGGTTTTGCCTCTCTTTGTCTTCCAGTGATTTCCCTGGTAGGCGCAGTTGTCTCCCCAGGTATTCTGTGTTGTGCCGTTGTTGCTTCGCTTTAGTGGTCGAGCTGACTAGATCATGTCCCAGAATAGTCTTTCCTTTTTTCGCTTGTCTTCCCTGCCTTCAAGCCGTCTTTCTTTAAGTGAGACATGCAGTCGCGTGACAGAACTTGATTCTTTTGGGCAAAGTATTCATCGATTTCATCAGCCGTTGCCCACCCAACTCGTTTGTCGTTGTCTGTTTTGGGTCTCTTTCTTTTTTCCTGTTTGTATATGTGTTCAATGACAATACTTTGCCAAAGGCTCGCGACAACCTTGGCTTCAATTCTTGGACTTGGAACGTAGAACTCTTCAACAGAGCCCAGAAAGAATATCATCGCGATTTCAAGATGTCCTTGGCGAGGGCGCTGTATGAGTACCGCACACTCGACCGGCTGGACGCCGTGGAAGAGATCCTACAGGGTCATCAAGCAAGCAGTTTCACTCTGGACCTTATCAGAAAGTACAGAGAAGAGCAGACTGATGCACTGAATTCCTTGTCGAACATGGTGCTCCCCTTGCGGGAGGAAGGGGCTACGCTTGCCACCCAGTTCTCGGACTACATTGGCCCCACGCTCTCCATGCACTATGATGCCGTGGTCGTCCTCATTATCGCTGGCATGAACCCAGCAAGCAGCCGGGACACAATCAATAGTGTCAGACGCTTTTTGGCGTTTGCTCGCAAAACAGGTCCGTTACCCCACTGTTTGAAGGCCCGGCGTTTTGAGGCCGGACCAAATGCACCATACCAGTGCGTGGAGACTTACAAGCTGGTGGTCATACACTTTGACTCCTTTTGCTCGCAATTTTGCCAGCCGCACCTTTGCCTCAATCCTGCCCCAAGGACCTGCTCAGACGCCTCCGCTTCTGAAGGCCTTGACTTTTTGGCAGATAGGGAGGCATGGTGCCAAAACCCATGCACACGTGTAGTAGCACACTACAAACAGGGGCCTGCCTCCAGTGCTGATAAGCTCCTACCACAACTCCCACAACCACCCTCCATCATTGACATCTCGGTGGGTGCTCAGGAGCAAGACCCCAAGAACCAGCGTGTCCACATGCAGCTTGGCCCCTTGGCAAGCGGGGTGGTCTCAGTCCGTCTGAGAATCATTCATCACGAGTTTGACAAGGCAGCCAATGAATGGATCCCGGTACACGGTGTGCAAGACACGCACACGCCAGAGTTGAATGTGACAATCGGCCAACTCATTTCGGGGCGATACTACTACTTCCAAGCGGCAGCAGTGAACGATGTAGGCGAAGGGCCCTACAGTGCACGCTGGCCGGAAAGTGCTTCGGGGCTCCTTGTGGGCCATCGCATTGTCACCATCCAGCCCGAAAAAGCTGTGCGCCAACCGCTCGAGCATTTGGATACTTGCGATGCAGAAGAAGCAGCTGGTTCCGACCTTACAAATCGGGCCCCCAACTGGCTTGCCTGGGCAGTCCGCTTGAGCTTTAGCGAGTTGCCGAGAAATCAAGAGCCAGCAGCAAGCGTGGAATTCTTCGACCTCGCAAATGGCACAACTTTCAATTGCCTAAAGTTCCAGCTGGATCCAAGTGATTCTCTTGCTGCCTCGTGCCGCATCCCTTGCCGGGAATCAAGGTTTACCAGCACTTTAGCAGTGACAGTTTGGGATTCCAATCGAATAACCAAAATTGCAGAAGGCCAGTTGACACATGAGCCCATGTCCAAAGCATCTTGTGGAGCCTTCACTCCCAGCAGACCACTCTTTTGCGATGTTGAAGACTCGCGCCAAAGGCGCTGCATGGTACCCACCTCGATCAATGGCTCCGCATGCGACCTGTGCTTTGATGCACGCACTCCGAAGACCTACCGAGTCGAGTCTCGCCTGTGCACTGGATTTCAGTGCCAGCTGGGTGAAAGGTGGTGCCCTTTGAATGGCATCGGTTGCATCACAACATCTTGTCAGGTTTGCTACACCGGCAGTGTAGACTTTCCAGTGGACGGAGGCACGGTGTGCGCATTGCCCTGTGAGTTGTATGCCGATGTTCCAGATCTCATCGTGGAGAATGGTGCCATATCTGTCCCGCCTGGCGATAGCGCCAAAATCGCTTGCGATGCAGGCTTGGGGCCAAGTTGGGATGAGGCTCTTGGGGCTCCCGGCCCTGCAGAGCTACAATTCCTTTGCCCTGAAGGCAACACTCGGCTGGAATACAAAGTCAGCGACTTGGCAAGACGTCCTGCCTGCAAGCCTCGTTGCGTGTCAGGAACCTTTCAAGACGTGGACGGCTACATCTACACCTATGGCGACAGCATCTATGGTCAGACCATGAACTTTACATGCGACGCATCCCAGTTCGAGTCAGGCATGGTGGTCCTTCTCTGCAAGGACTCTGTGGTTGAGCTGCTGTCAAGGACATGCAAGGTTGGGGGAGTCAGGAAAATACGGTCTCACATTTTCTGATGCATTCTCATACTTGTTTGGAAACCCACTGAAAGTGTGAATGAAAGCGCAGTAGGAGCTTACGTTGCTAATACTTTGACTCAAGATCCTGTGCAACTGAGACAATATAGCGCGCAGCTTTGGGGATGTAAATGTTTTGTCCAGTTCCAGAATCCAAAGCTGGACATTTCATTTTGTCTTGGAGTTGTATGCGGCGCAGGGGGGCCCAAGGACGGTTGGAACCAGACACAAAAGACACCAACCAGTCTCAAAATTCAAGATCCACCCCTACGAACACGCAGACGCCCCCAGAATCTTTGTAATTTTTGGTCGTGATTGCCGGTATTGCAGCATTGTACCCCATGGTGCGCATACATTTGGCGACCGGTCTCTCCCCCGTCTGTTTCATACATTTTGTTAGATTTTTGTTGACCTTGTCCCCAGGGCTCAAGTTTCAGCTTAGAGCCCCAGAACCTGAAAGGGTTCGACTTTTTACGCTTTAGTCGGGCCTAGCGCTGTGTTTGGTGGAGCCATAGTGCAGTGGCATTTCCAGCTCCGGCGGAATGCTCGCTCGAACTTGTTAGACCACAGCCTTCCGATTTCACTTTTAGCAACGCTATTCATTTTGTTGTCTTTGTCAGCAATGGGCCGGTGGCTGTTTTGGTGCAGCAGGTTGCGGGCCTCAGAAGCGACTTTTGTGCATGCGCACTACACAAATGGCACATTACCCGGAAAGTGCATGAACGAAACACGCAGAGATCGTGGGTGAGAGGCCGTGTAGTGATTGCGGAGCTCAAAAGACAAGAGAATTTTTGCTTGGACCTACGAACAGCTAGACGGCAAAGATACAGGGACAACACTGCAACCCTGGGCCATAGGGAGAAAGCAAGACAAGACCATGTTGAGGCTGATTCCTTTGCCCTTATGCAGACTACAGACCATATCACTATCGCAAGTGCAAGATTCGCATATGCTGTCCAGCATCAACGACCATACCATGATGCTGTGAGCTTTGCGACCCAGAACTTTGTGAAGAAGGATGATCTTAAAAGATGGCTCCAAGAGCTTCCTTTCTTTTGCGAGAATCAGTGGACTGTGCTGGCGGTCTGGAAGATTGATCCTGAAGAAGCGGTCACCCATCAGTGTGACTATCTCTGGCTCAGTGAAGGCAATTGGGCAAGAGAGTTCCGCACCTTTTGGAGGACAACAGAGATCTTCAAGACACCGAAGGTAGCAGCAGTTGAGCCACAACCAGCCAAGAATGTACTAGCCGATCACCAAACCATACATGTGATTGGGGTGGAGAATCAGAAAGTTCCACCGCATCATTTTGTGCACCTTTTTGATATCTGGGAAACCGACAACCCACTGGTTGGTACTGGCAGGCTGTTCCTAGCTAGAAAGGCAGCTGAGGTTCCCCGAGATATGTCGGTTGCACAACTTCCAAGACTGCTTGGATTTGATACAGCTGAATTTCTGGAGATTTTTGCATCTCTTTCGCACTGAGCGGGTCAGCAGAGAGCGATTTTTAGGGGCAGACAGATACTGACTGTGCCGGAATTCTCGCTCATTGATTTGATCTTTGTGCGAAAGGCCCCTGAATGCCTTGTAAGCCCCTATGCTGCTGGTCTCTCCATACAGACACACTCCAACCCACATGAGGAGACGGCGCGTAGTGTTTTTAGACGGGATCAGACGTCCAGAGAGCAAGACCTTGAAGAAAACTCGCTATTCCAGTTCCAACCGCCACCGAGGCTTGGGACTCACAACACTGATAGTGAGGCTTACTTCTGGGTTCGAAATACTGTTGTTCACCAGCCTGCTGTACTACTTACTGTCATGGAAACAGGGCTCTTGTTTTCGCATCATTGGCCGTACTTCATAGTTTATTCTGAGGAAAGGCCTTTCGAGATAAGAACGTTTGGTTTTGAGAGCCAGGAACCACTCAATACGCATATCCTACGTACTCGGTTTCGCGAATGCTATGCGGACCAGTTTGGGACACATGATACTGTGAGTATCGGACCTGTTGGACTGCAACAAATTCAGAATAGACGGACACCCATCTCGCGTTCCTTTCGAAATGAGACCCATGCTGATTCAGGTTCTCTATCCAGACACGGCAGGTCAGATAATCTCTATAGAGCTGCATTGTTAGCGCGGAGAGTTTCCAAGTCTGATGTCATACAGAAGGCTGATCTCGAAGGGATATGTGATGACCAAAGTCATCAGTGCCTTGTCAGTACTGAGGAGGGTGTCCCAATTGGGGCTTCGTTGGTTCCTATTGTGGCTTGGCAGAGGATTGTAGTTACGATCTCTAAAAGAGACAGTCCGGGGGCCTCAATGATCTGTGATTGCCAGACTCGCCCAGCGAACATGCTGGAAACTGGGGCTTCGGATGACTTCAGTCTGATGCAAACACGTCCAAGAGTTGCAACCGAATTTGATCCGATTTTATTATATGCATTCGCGGGACTGGATCCCTTTTTTGGAAATGCAGCTGAAGGGCGTGTAGAGGTTGAAACATACTGCCACTTGTGGGTAGAGAGAGATGGGCCCATGCGCAACCATCTTCCCATCGTGTTGCATCTAAACAGTCCGGCCATATCCCAAGTCGCCGCAAGATGGACTCACCACATGCAGGCAGAGAGAATGAGGCTAGTAATTACCTGTGAGGCCTATCCCAGACTTTGGGAATGGTCCTAAACCGCATATCCTTGTTCTAGACCATGATAGTGAGCAAGTGGTGCCAGTACTCTTTGACTATGTTAGTGACGCCAGAGTCTTTACAGGTACAGGGCTCGTTGACTGCCAGGATGGCTATCCGGAGGTTAGAGACCTCTTCGACCTTCTGATCCCGAACAATGAGTGTCGCACAGAACCTCCTGTCTTGTGCGAGCCAATGGCAGACATTACGTTCCGGGCCAAATAGTCATGCTTTACGAGGGCCTTTTTAATCGATTAGACGAGCAAGATTTAGATGCCACCACAACAGAGGATGCCATTAGCGCTGAGTATGATCCAGATGCAAGTCGTACATCCACCAAGTGAGTTCTGATCTCAGTTTGCAGCCGGGTCCGGCTGTGTCTGAAACTGACCTGGCAGGTCCTGCTGGGAGATTTACTTCTCTCCCAACTGGACCTTTTTTCGATGTAGACCAGAATGGTGTCCTCTTTGTGATTGATCACGAATTTAGCCCTGACTTGGCTCTGCAATGGTTCCAAGCAATTGCTGTACAGCGCACTGCTTTTGCACAATTTGATCGGTTGGTAGCGGAACTCGGTGCCGGGTCAGGGCGTGGACATTTGGGGGGAATAACTCTTGTCATTACTGGTAGCGAGTGGCATGAGGCTGTCCATCTGCCGGTGTTTGGCCTCGATAGTACCCATTTAGAGTGCCACGGTGCCCTCCGCAGAATGAATTTCCTGTGCATGCGCCGTTACAATTTTGGCTTGTGCGCCCGAACTTGGACAGACATGAGCAGGAAGGGTTCATGGATAGGTATATACTGGCAGATCACTCATGTCCGGATGACCAAAGAGCTGCGGTTGTGCTTATCCATGACCCTGAGGAGCCAGAAGCGGATAAACTGGCCCTACTCAGACCACAGATGACCAACCTGCTGCTGTTTATCCAAGTTGGGAAGACCGTAAAATGCACGTCTGAGGACTTTGTCTGCACGGTCAGCCACCAGGATGAAGTCCTTACGCCAGGGTCTTATTGGCTTGTCTTTAACGGCATGAAAATCAAGATTGTCATTCAGGAAAAGAACGAAAGATGTAGGAGGGCCTTTCGAGAGATGCATGCTCAAGGCAATGACACTGCAGATGCCTTCCTGAGCAGGAGGAACCAGATGATATGATCCTGATGTATTTCTTTTCGGAGATGGAGATTGCCACCGTGGAAACTACGGCGGTGGCACTGAGGCCTTTTGCAGAGTCACACTATGGAGTTCTGCTAATGCACCAGGGGACAACAGCGGCAACGATTTGCTCCGATCTTACATACATGATAAAAAAGGGAGATTTCTGCGAGTGCATTCACGGTATATGTCTGGATGCTATTGCCCCGGTTGCGCGTAGTCCACACGGCACAACGGTGCGCAATGTTTAAGGACAAGTCATACGCAGCATCATTGCTAGGCTTGTGGAAAGTGGCTTTTACTGTGCAGCCACTAGCAGTCACGCTAGTCCATCCGGACCTGCAACCACTTGCTTTGCCCAGTTGGTTTGCGAGCTGTCCCGCTAGACCTTGTTGTCGTACCAGAAGCTGATGTATCAGGTGGGCGCAAGGTCTACTTAGTGGATGTGATAGGCGTGCCTCTCCCGCGTAGGCTCGCGCTTTTCGCTGATGATACCAGCGCCGTAAGGGCAATTGCACAGCTAGCGGGAGCGCAGTCCATTTGTGATTTGTCCACGACCGTTTGCAGCGTACGATCTTCAGCCCCAGACAATAGGCAGCAGTGGGATTATGACCAGGTTGTTAGGACGGAGCATGGAGCAGGTTTGACACTATGGATTGAGCCAGTCTCACAAGGTCGGGTCGTTGCGGCCTCCATGTGTGTGGACAAATCTTCATTCATGCAGATGCTGCTGGTGGACCCAGGACCAACTAACCCTGAGCAATATACTAGGGAGGCAGTCAATTCGGGTTACATGCATGTTTGGATCCATGACTGCCTTATGGTTGAGACATTTCAGCATAACCATCGTCGGATAGTGTGGGATCGACCTAGGGCCATGCAAGAAGTCCGTAGGTTTGTTCGAACGGGCCGACGTGAGCACCGGACATGGGCGGTCATACCAGTGTCCCCTGTTCCAATTATGGGAGGAATCAGGCAACCCACATTGATCCTCCATCCGGACAATGATCACCAATTTTGGGCAATATTGGTTGAACTTCAAGACGATGTAAAAAAGGTCTTTGGCACTTTCGTGCTTGAAGCTGACCTTATGCCATTTAGTGTAGATTTCTTGTTTGAC